TGGGCTGGGTTCATAATTTAACGGGCCGGGTACGGGTTTAGGCAAACCCGGCCCAACCCGGCCCATTGCACACCCTAAGTATAATTATATGAAAGATGACTATACAAAAAAATAACTATAGTAAACTATTTTATATTTTTATTATTAATATTTTTATTTTTTCAATTTGCTTTAACACTATTTTTTAATTTTTTTTCATTTTTTAATTTTTATTTATATTTTTTATATTATATTTTAATTTTATTTGTATTTAATACTTCTACATTATAATCAAGTGCAACTTTCAGTTTTTTTGATTTAACTTTTTTTCTATGTTCAAAAATAAAATTTTTTATTAATATTGTTTTTTTACTTTTTTTTCTTCTAACTTTTTGTTATAATAAAATACTTGTACGGTATCTACTCTTGGTTATGAATATAACGTTGTTTTAATGAAGTCTAAATATTCTTAATAGAATTAAGATTTAAACTATACAAAGATCCAATATATTTGTTAAAAATCATATAATAAATGGCAATGCCTCTTACCTTATCATCAAGAACAGCATTTACGATTACGAATTAAAAAATTTTCTTTTTTGTTTTTATTTGTTTAATTTGAATACTTTCTAGCAAATTAATACATATACATATAAGGTAACGTAAATAACTCTGTCAAGTTCTACATGTATTGCCACATAAACAAATAAACTTTCAACATGTTTCCAAAATTAATCCAATAAATAGATATTAAGCAAAAATAAATAGAAATGCTTAAGATGAAGGTGCATTCCAAGTTCATGAAATAAAGCAACTAGTTCTTTTCTCTCTATCTTTTCTTCTTTCCTTTTCAGACGTTTCTGTTGCAATCGAGCTACCAATAGACGTTTGATCATATGGACGATTTGGTCGTCTTTGTTGTCGTTGCAAATCTTCCTGGCGCTGTTGTTGTTGTTTTCTGCGGAATTCCGCTTCACGTTCATCCTCTTGCTGTTGGAGACTTAAAGCAAGTGCGTAACTAATGATAAATGTAGAAAGCGATTAGTTGTGATTAAAATGGATAAATAAATGAAGTACCTACTCTTGATCTCCACCCCCATGCGCTTCATTATCCGTCACACCAACGTAATCACCACCACTGATTTCACCTTTACGAAATTGACCATTAACGAATTCAGAAGCGCTTTGATCTACGTCAATAAGCGATTCCCATACAACTGAAGGTTCATTAACGAAACCGGCATCAGTGACTAGAATGTATAGAGTTGAATTTTGAGGGTGTTTATATAGTGTGGAAAACTTCCATTTTTAATGGCATGAATAATAGTTATATATATAATTATAAATCTTTTTAATGTCCATTATATTAATCCAAAAATACAATGAAGTGAAGGTAACAGTTACCAAGATCTCAGGATACAGATTACCAGAAACTCACATGATTATTCCGGAAAAATATACAAAGATTTCCTGGAGGTAAAGCTTCAGATAAGGTTGACAATCCATGGTAAGTAAGTTGAGTTTTAGAAGCGTCCAAAAATTGAGATGTTATCAATGCTTAATAATAGTATGAAGGAGGTACAAGTGACAATAAGAATGTTCAGTTAAATTAAATCCGATATTCTCTTTCAGTAATTTAATATATTACCATCTCTGACTCTAACATTTTCCAAAGCATTAGCAGATCTCTCAGATTTATCAAAACCTATATTAGAAACACCATCTGAGCTCTCCAGAACGACACCTTTACTCACAGAGTCACCACCCACAACACATTCAACAGCTTTGTTGTAGCTTCCACACTTTCCGACTACAACATTCCATGTTTCTTCGTCCTGAGGGTCAACCACCCAACCATGAACTAATTCCACACCAAAGATGTCAAATACGGAAAGTTCAGCGGTGGGTTCAAAACCATGAATAGAATTGAATTGAACGTTTACATCCAGGCCAGTTTGTAATATAGGAATAATTGAAATGGCGGCATTCAATGTGTGTTGATAGTCTTGTAGAGATGGTCTCGTGGCGTTAGTAATGTTAGTAATTTGAGCGATAGAATCATTATCGGTCTTTTGATTATCCACATCCTGGTTTTCGTCGATTCCATTTAAGAGATCGGCAGAATGAGCTTGTTGACTTTGACTTTTTTGTGAGGATTGGTCAATTGTCAATTGAAGCAATCCTTTTTGAATCTTTGTGGAAAAATTAAATATTAATATAAAAGCGTGATTAACTAGATTATTAAAAGTGATAATTACCTCAGCCTCTTTATCCGGAATTAATTTGAATAAGTAATCACCCAATAATTCCACAAGGTAATCATAAGTTACAGTTGAACGATCGTATGGTTTAATTTCGATAGAACCTCGTAAAATCAAAACGTTGCCTAAATTTATTTAAATTTACTAGAGTCAAAAGTAATTATCCGCTTTAGACATAAAACATTGCAGAAATAGATCTGTCACCATTTAACAAAAAATAGGATACATAGTGCTAACAGAGGGCACGGCCCATTTTCTACAAAATTTGCAAATGCGATGAGAGGAGGCAAACTAGATAACGATAGAGAAAGAATAATTTTACCATTTTGAGTGATGATCTTTAACTTCCGGGGTTCACCACCTACTGAACCAGCCCATTCAATCGCTTTCAGCTGATATTCGTTTGTGGATAACTTTGCTGATGAGGAGCTTTTCGTGGCATTCACTTCCTCTTCAGCGGCCTTTCCTTTACCCTTTGTCTGAACGGCTTGATTTGATTCAGGGGTAGTTATTTCACCTGGAATGCCTGGCATAGTTATTATTACAAAAGAAAAAAAACCAGGCAGATTTCGTGTTTGTAAAGAATATTTGTATAGGAATACTTCTTTGGTCTGTGTGACGTACGTACGTACGTACGTACATACCAGATACGCTCTCCAGGAGCGACTACCCCATCAAATTTTCACCCCCACGTGATCATTGACCAATTAATGATTCTGATTTGGTGTAACGTAGCACGATCAGGAAAATTCAAAACAAACGTCTTTTTTGTCAAAAATCATTTATTTCTCAAGAATTTGC